GGGTGCAGGACAGCTCTGTGAGTGATAGGGAGTGACGGCAGCTGGGAGGAAGCCGTGTGCCATGTGGATATTGTCCTCTCGAGAGGGCATACTGGTATGAAAGTGCCAGGATTCCTTTGCAAAGTTCTCCCAGTTTCACACTTCAACCTTTAAATTATTTATCTTCCCTCCCTACTTCTCCTTCCCCATGCAAAAACAAAATAGAACAAAGCAAAACAAACCCTCTTTGGGTGCTAATTTAAAAAACAGGAATCTTTTTACTGATAAAGTGTGTTTTGTTTATAACCTCAAAACACAGGGGAAAATTGCACATTTGGTTGGTTTGATGGGAGTATACAAGATGACAAATTGAAATTTTTATCTAGTATAACATGTGCAGAACATGAGCATACCACGGCAGATACCGCCACGGGGAGTTAGAGTGATTTGTCCAAGTTTTGTCTAGCTATCTCTTATTCCATCACTCTTGCTGGGTAGTACTTGATGAGCCAAATAATTATTTTCACAAAACTTCCCCATAGATCTACACTCATGGAGAGTCATTCGTGCCTCAAGTCTCCAGCATCTGCACGTCCAGCTGGGTAGGTCCTATTAACTCCCCACCTCTGTGCCGTCCCGTTGACCCACAGAAGTCCTACGCAGCTACTTTTCTTTTAATAATCAAGTTCACTGGCACAGGACTCACGTAGAAAGAAAAGTGATTCTAGAAACATCAGTGAAGGGGAAAATCAGAAGGGGGTGTTTTAGAGAGAGGTGAAGTACTTCCCTACCTGTCAGGAATATGCTCTTCTCCTACTGGCTCGCTTGATGTGGAGAAGCCAAAAAGAAAACATTCCGCTCCTATGAAAGCTTCGCATTCGGGGCCACAGGACTGTAGTGCTAGGAAGGACTTTAGAGATCTTCCACAGTCTAAATCAACCTGCTCCTTTTATAAATAAGGAAACTGCATGGCTTTTAAAAGGCCACAGGTAAGAACAGGCAGAACTGGGACATCAAAGAGTGTCACTGATTCAAGGCAGTGGCAAAACGATGGTGTCACTGCATAAGGCAACCTCCCTGCCATTTCTGGTGGTGCTGGCCTTTCAGGAGGAGCCCGTAGCGCCCTGCAGCTGGGCTGTCAGCCTCAAGAGTGCCACTTACTTCAGGGGGTCCCCACCATCCAGCAGGGCCAGTGGCGGGCGTGAAGCAACCAGGGGAAGACAGAAAGGAGCCGAGCATTTTGTTCTGTTTTCCGTGGGTCCTCTGTTCACCTCAGTATTAAATGAAATGCTCATGTGTCTCCAGGGTCTGCTTTACTAATAAGTAAAGATTTTATTGTGGTTTTTTTTAAAAAAGTGCTGCCGTAGCACTTTGTTTCTTGTAATAGCATCAACCAATCCTGCCTCTCATCAGATTTAGTTGTTACTCCCCGGCCTCATTCACTAGACTGTGAGCTCCCGAGTCAAGGGGCACACCTTGCTCATTTCTTTATCCTCAACACAGCACACACAGTAGCTGTTCAATAAAATGTTTATGCTGCCGATGTCAGTGTTTTTATTTTCATGTTCTACAGCAGGAAAGATTCAGCAATGAAATAAGTCTTTGCAGCTCGTAAAAAGTCACTTCAGGCCCAACCGTCATGGCTTACAAACACTGGCACTACCTGTCCCGATTATATTATAGAAAGTTTTGCCCCGAGAAACTAACAAAATAACATCAAGCCCATAAACAAGAGAAGAAATTCATTTTGTTTTGTTCTGGTACATAGAGGGTTGCTCTATGGACTGTAAGAAAATAATCATGTTGTTGGAACTACATCATTTTAGATAATCATACTCTGCATAACATTTGGCCAATGCCAACCTATATACGATGGTGGTCCCACGAGATTGTCATAGAGTTGGAACATATCTACTGCCTTGTGACATCGTAGCGTGGTAATGTCATGTTACAGCGCACTTCTCACGGGTTTGTGGTGAGGCTGGTACAAACAAACCGACCACACTGCCAGTCGTATAAAAACACAGCACATATAATTATGTCCAGTACTTGACAATGAATGATTACATTAGTAGTTTATGTATTTACTTTACTACATTCTTATTGTGTAGAGTGCATTCTTTGTACTTAGTAAAAAGACGTTTGCTGTAGCAGTGTCCTGTGTCACATGGACAGCAGCCTCCTACATCTCTTGTTTACTATACCTCTTGTTTGCATCATTTCCTCTTGTGCTTGATTCAATCTCATGTTGTTTTGTACAATAACATACTGTCCTTGAAAAGAATACCAGTATAGTCAGTTATCACTTAACATCATCCCTAGGTTCTTAGAACTGTGGTGAAATAATGTATAATGAATCTAATCTTACCATAGGCTAACTGATATAAACAAGAATTAAAATGTTCCTACTTAAGCACTTCATCAATGTTACAATGAAATAACGTTGAACAACATAATATGATTCAGCAACCTGATGAACCTGGGTCCCCACCCAAAGGCAAGTGTGTCCAAATCTAGGGTGTTGGAGTTGGGGAATCGGTACTAATTCTAAAGCTCCCCAGATGACTCGTGTGTAGTCAGTTCTGAACGCTTGTACTCAGTATACAGGCAGTAGGTAGGGAAGGAAAACAACCATTTTGCCATGGCAGGGAAGACCTTAGAAGTCATATAGAACTTGTGATCAGAAGATCATGGAGAAGATCCAAAAAGTAGTACTGAGCTATGCATGCTACACACCAAACCTTCATTAAAATATTGTATACAACTTAGGCTTTTAATTACCTACAGTAAAGAGAAAGGGACTCAGAGAAAAGCAGTACATACGATGAAAGGCAATGAACAGAGCAAACTGCATTGCAAACTGATTTTGGAACCGGGACTCCATCAACTTGAAAAAAAAAAAAAATCAAGCGGTATTTCAACAAGTATTTTAAAAATTATAAATAAATCTTCGTGCGTCATATGGATGCAGGTTATATTAGCTATTCTCAGGAAAAATATTTGACAATAATTTACACAGTGCTAACAATGATTAAGTGTAAGGACATGTATTTTATAAAAATGAAAATATTCAGACTTGTCAGAAACTTCTCAGATTATAAATTTAACCCACTGGATATTCTTTTTGATGACTTTGTGTGGGTTTCTAGAGAAACAGAATGATAACTTATTACAACAGCAACTGTATGTAATCACTTTCCTTCCTTCTTTGCCAGCCGGGGCACTGAACATTCTCTGACATCTGCAGCCCGGTTTGAGCCCAGACAACACAACCTTGGCTGAAGTGCAAACTCAGAGGTCAGCAAAAGAAACCAGTCTTTCTTGCAACGAAGGGCTCAAAATGTTGTGTAAGGATCGAAATGTATTAGCATTTCTATTTAAGAATTTTGTCCAATCTGAACTTGGTTTACTAAGAATAGAATAGTCTTGTCATCAAATAGTTCCAGTGCACTTTGTACCTTTCTTGGCACAACATCTCCCTCCTGGTGGCACAGTTTATACATTATGTCTTTTCTACTGTCGGGACCCAGGGCAGGCCACCCCAAAATATCTCACAATGTCATATCGATTACTTTGAATAGAAGCTACTTGACAAGCAGCCAATGCAGGAAGGGCATGTTGACCCTCCCTTCTCTCCTTGATGCAGGAATAAGGGCACATTGTGCTCCCGGAAGCTGAGAGAGACACCTTTATCCCTAGAGTTAAGGAATTCTGGGCCAAAAAGCCGTATGAACAAAACTTGCTATTTCTCTACTAATTTACTATCGAAGCCCAAACTTTGTTTAGATTCTTCACTCATAAGTACACAAACCTAAATTTCTTTGTCCTGTCAAATTTATTGTTTCTTTGTCTAAAAGGTATTAAAATCTAGCTGTTTCATCATTTTTCAAAGTGTCATTTATAATCTCCCATGTGCATATATTAAATTGCTTTTTTCCTGTTAATCTGGCCTTATATCAATTTTATTATTAGTCCACCTATAAGAACACAAGAGGTGCAAAGGGGAATTTCTCTCCTTCCTCAATACTACTTTCTGCAGTTATAATGTAATGTAATAAATCAAAGTTCACCTTTGATTCTCCCAGTTCCCAGTGAACACCTACACATAGCCAGTGTTTGAAAATATTTGTTTAATAAATGAGTACATGAAAGAATAAATGAACATATAAATGAACCAAGCACCTCACTGGTATGTTATTGTGTCAGTTACCACACAAATGAAGTTAGTGTATTTATTTTTCACTTGCTCATCATTCATTCATTCATTCATTCATTCATTCATTCATTCATTCATTCAGTTTTAACTGAAAATCTTTGCTGTGTTTAGCAATGCACTGAATGGTCAAAAGGAATAGCCCCTATTCTTTAGCAGCTAAGAACCTAGTGAGATGTCAACATAAGCAATTCTAGGGATTTAAGTGCACAGACACATAGGGTGATAAATATGTTGGACACATCCATTTAACTGATAAATAAATGCTAAGCCAATAGTTAATGTGACGTACTAATGCCACTGATAAGCAGAGGTTGAGAGCATTTGAAGGCTATGAATGAGCGTGATTCCTAGTATCTCATGTTTAGCGAGGGTGAGAGAAGTGTTACATGGAGCAATCCAGGAAGGGGATCGATTGTGGGGTGACTGATAGAGAAAGGTGGGCTCACAGAAGAAAATTCTAAATGTAGTAAGGCCTCAGAGAAGTCTTGAAGGAGCCACGAATTACTTAGATTAAGGTGTTCTTGAGAACCTTGTTCACAAAAAAGCAGAAGGACAGGCAATAAAATGAAGAGAAACCAAAGAAATTAGGTTATCTGAGGATATACTTTAAAAAAAAATTAAATTTGGTTAAATTCCTGACCCATCTTTAATATAACATTCTTAGATGCTCTTAAAAGTACCTTCATAGGAGGACAATTGTACTTTTTCACACTATTCTAAGTCAGGTTCTTTCTTTTTATCCAACAGAGAGGAGGGGAAAAGACCTTTTTCTGAATAAATATATTAGAAACTGGAGTGTACATACTCATCCTTGTCCACCTTTTCTCGAAGCCTCTTTAGTTGTCTATTTTGGCCCAACTTCAAACCTTGAATTATGTTCTCAAAGTATTCATCTTCCTTGTAGTTCAACTATATCATATAAAAAATTTTGGGAAAAATATTAAAACCAGTATCTTCAAAACTTTTGCTAAAAACATTAAGGATATTTTCTTCAATTCTATCTGTTAATAAAGTTAACAGAACATTAAAACTTACCTAAGCAGGATTTAGTTTCAATAAGCTTAGTTCTATATTACAGGTCACTGCTGTTCTAGTTGAATCACCACTTGAGTCTATTCTTTTATAGTTAATCACATAAAACCAAGAGTCAGGCAAGCCTTACCACATTGATATTAATCCTCACATACCAGATGTGATAACAGCATATTCTTATTGGGACCTACTATGTACCAGGCAATATTCTAAGAACTTTAAATATAGATTACACTCTCTTTTAATCTGCTGAATAATATTAAAATATGGGCTATTATCACCACTTAAAAGTTGAGGAAACCAAGGCACAAACAAGTACACTTGCCCAAGTTACTGAGTGGTGGAGATAGGGCTTAAACCCACACAGTTCAGATTTGAGTCTATGGTCTTAGCCACTAGGCTCCTGCTACAAGGGCTCCCAGGACCCCCACGCTACAGCCGCTCATTTAAAGGAAACTGTCAAGCCCTGGCTGGTTTGGATCAGCGGGTGGAGCATCGGCCTGTGGACCAGAGAGTCCCGAGTTTGGTTCCCACTAGGGGCACATACCAAAAAAATAAAATAAAATAAAATAAAACAAAACAAAATAAAATAAATAAAAGAAACAGTTAAGCTTTTCTGCAAATGAAAAGAGGAGAGCACACTGTGGCTTGCAAACCCCCATGTCAGACTAGTATCAATAGATTAGGAATCATTGTCATCTTTGATTTGTGCAAGGATTACCTTATCATCACCAAGGTTTCAAGTAGTTGTCATGACCACAAAGTTAGCAACAAGACCCTCAGCTAAGTCTGAAATCAGTACTGCAGTGACTTTAATCAACTCTCTTCTCTTACCATTGCTACATGACCAAAGGAGAGTAACACAGTCTCTGGTTCTCATGTAACAGTTTTTTGTTTTGCTTTTTAAATAGAGAACGGATGACCTAGCATATCCAGTGAAGCAAAAATTAGGAAGTGGATGGAAACATGAACATTTGACTTCTCAGGCCTGAAGAACATGAAGCAAGGAGGCTGACTGTTGCCTGTTGTTCAGCACTTGGATGTCTACCCTTGACACTCTTTGAAGGACACCAGATTGTTCTTCCTTCTTAGAATGAAATATATGGAAACCAAAATAACATACAGACCAGGGCAATGAAACAAAAAGCTAAAACTAAAACAAACACAGATCTGTCTTCAGTGTTAAAAGGATTTATATAATAAGATCTATGGTTTTAGGCTACTTCACATAATTTCTGGCACCCTAGAGTTAGAAATGACATTGCCACCAGCCCCAGGTGTCACTAAGCCCAGAGTCTTTAGAGACTTACCTCCTCATAGTCTTTATTCAGTTTGTTATCATCTGAGATAAGGTCATCAGGATAGCCGATTCTTTCTTTAATTGCTAAGGCCTATAAAAATTATAATATTGACAGTGAGGATGGTTACGTAACTTTCAAATGCAAACATTATACTCTGCCCATGAATATCAACTGAATAACCTGATCCACACTGCTTACAAAAAGAGTATCTGACAACACTTAGAAAGAGATCTTTGAAGTGGTTTCTTCCTGGGACTTAAAATAAACCGAAAATTGGTCTGAGATTTAGTTTCCAATGCCCCAGCCTCACAGGCTGCAGCTTTCCCAGGAAAACCCAAGTGAAAGCTGACAAGTCACTGTCCCTCGTGTACTCTACTTCCGTGAACTTGTTCTCTGAAAGGCTTTTTCTTCAATTTACAGGAGGGGTAATATTTAGAGCTTCCATTCTAGCACCTTATAATGATCTTTCCACTTTACTAATTTGGCTGAGAAAACTGGTATGGGTTTATATGTTTAGTGCTAATATTCTTTCCTGAATATTGATTCTTGGATTTTTTATGTTCTCCCTTGGTCTCCAAAGCTGCGTACCTATCTGCTCAAAGTTAAATGAATGACATTGATTAAACAAGTGAAAAACAAGGGTTTTTCTTGTTATACCAGCTCATGTTTGTCCCTTGCTTACTGCCATTTCTGATTTTTATGTTTATTTTAAAATTATTTACTTATTTTTATTATTTCACGCTTATCACTTTTTTTGCTACTTGCCATTTCTATCTTTTTATTTTCTCAAAGGTATTTGACTTTTCATGCTATCATATTACATTGCTCTTAAATAATTTCATTAATTTAAAATTTTCATGGGGAATTAAGCCTGTAGCTCTGAATGATTTGGTCTGCCATCAAAAGGATGTGGTTTTGTTACAAATCTGTTTCATAAGCCCAGGGTTTCCCCTGCGGCCGGAACGGAACATGTGTCACCAAGTCAGTTAGACCAAGCCCATTTTCGTGTAGGTTTCCATACCATCGGCCCATTCTAAATCAGCCCCCTCCCACTAGCACTTTATTTTCCTCAAGACATTTCTCCAAAGAGTGTTCCAAGGGACACAAACTTTACTGAAATAAAAGTTACTACATAAAAAAAATTTATTGTGAAATACTTGGGGTAAATACTGTGACAAAAACATTAAGCGGGCGTCTTTACTGCAGGACTTCTGAGTCAAAATTAGGTTATCATACACGGCCAAGAGGAGGAATTAATTTGTTCATTTATTTATTCAATATGTTAAAGGGTCTGTGATGAGCCAGGTACTTTGTAAGGGGCTGAGGCTTCAACGCAAGGCAAACGTTTCTTCCCCCAGAAAGCTTACTGTAAAGATAAATGACTGGGAGTGAAATGACAACTGACTCAGTCACACCCTAGGAGCCTGTGACCTAGACTAGAATGGGACCAGGGAAGACTTCCTACAGGAAGTGTTTCCTATCTTTGACCAAGGGACTCTTTTGTGGAACAACTTGGCAGGTCCTATGTTTTGTGATATCACCTTGAGAAATGATCATCTAGAACAATTCAACTGACCACATCAAACAGAACCATGCCACAGATAGCCAGAACATGCATGGAGCAAATCCAGCCCAAATTTCGGAGGACTTTGTTAGAATAATAAAACTATAGTAGGGCTTAAATTCTAGACCTAACCTACTCAGGGCTCTGTGAAAAAGATAGTCTGTCCACATAATTCAATCCTGAAACATAACTAGACTATGGCTTGATTCTCTTATTATAATAGGGTTTTGAAATCCTTCTGTTATCAGTAAAAAAAAAATGGTTTGTTCTTCCTGCCACCTTAACCACAGAGAAATAATCAGGTTGTATGTGAACACTGTTTATAAAGCATGTACAGTTTTCACTGGACATGTTGTCCCTTCTAGTTTTATATAGTTATCAAGACAAATGGTCATAGTAAATGAAACCTGAAATTTCCTTAGAAATCTTACTTTTCTTCTTATGGAATATATTAAAAGTCCCAATAAAAGGGACTATAGATCACCTTATAAAACTCAAATATTGTACCACCTTACATTTGCTTAAACAGAAATATAGTATTCCCCCCCCCCCCCCCCAGGTCATATAAAAGCTAGGTGAGGCATGTTTTTAAAAATTTAGCTAGAAATTTGCATTAAAAATTGAGGGCATATTTTTGGACATAGTTAGAGGCTTTTTAGATATCTTTCATAAAAGGAGGAAAATTATGAACCACTGATAGCATCATTTTATTTACTTGTTCACATGAGATTTTCCTCTTGTTTTCTAAAGTCTTCCTTAAAAAAAAAGGGGGGAGATTTTTCAAAGTTTGAAATGAACATGGAGAGTAGGAGCTGAATGCAAAGAAATAGTAAAAAATGAGAACAATAGAGAAAATTTATCCATGAAAACATTACATCCCGAAGGAACTGGCTTTAATTGTTTGTTTTTTCTTACTGGCTTTGATCGGATTTTTATTCAAAATTGTATGCAATTCTTGATTATATTTTTTCTAAATTTTCTTCAAAGTTGATATTTTTTTATACAGAAATTTTTTTTCTTTGATAGTTATCCCTGCCTTGCTTTTTACCTTTTCTTCCGCTCTCTTTTTTGTTTCGGCATCCATCCAAGTGAGGTCATCTAAAGTCTGAATGAAAACTTCCCGGATCTGCGCAATCAAATCCTCAACCTCAAACCAGAACAACAGAGGACAAATTTAGGCCATTAATTAATTTTTTGTAACGAAAAATTTAAAAAATAAAGCCATACTCTATCTTTCTGTGACTCAATAATATATTAATAAATGTAAATTTATAGATGAACTGTGACCTAAACAAATAGATATATGTGGATAATTTTATTTTTAAAGCAACATTGTTACTAATATATACATTAATAAAAAAAGAACATTAGAATGTAATGGTTTCCATGACCATAACAGAAGAATAACATAAAGTATTAGCAGTCATTGCCATTTGCAATGTGGTAAAGCGTGAAGTAGCATTTCAATAGATTCTTTCTCCATATCTTCAAGTTCCACTGTTTTCATGTCAGTAACAATTAAAAATGGACTATGCTTCTCATACTTTGACTAAACCTGGGTTTCCTTTCCAGGTTTTTAAGAAAACACTGACTCTTGGTCACTTTTGCTAACAGAAGAGTTTATAAATGGCTTTATCCCTAGAATGTGTGACTGGTCTCAGAATCTACTGCTTGTGGAAAAAGGCCAGTTGGTTTTGAACTAAACCATATTAGAATCACAAACATAACCAGACCCTTGGGAGAGGGACAATGGGATTTACTGGGGAATAATGGCAAATTATGATTTGGAATTTCTCTGACGATTAATGAAATTTTAGCCAAATCACGGACCATTGTGATTGTCCATCAATGCAGACAAATAAGAGATCGTGCACTGTGCTGAAAACTTTACCACATGTTTACTCTCTCCGGCAAATGCTGCTTCTACATAAAGCCTTCCCACAGCATTGTCCATGTTCCCATTGACATAGTTTACACAGCGTCTCCACGTGGCCGTTTCTGATGTTGTGCCATAAAGGGCCTACGGGAGAGAAAAAGGAAATGACGTTTGATCAGGAGCAAGACAGCCGGAGCGTGGTAAGAGCACACATTTCATGGGACTCTATTCTTTATGTCTCCTACGTTTCTGTAATACTCATTGCTTCTCCTCGCAAGGCACGTTGTCCTTGCCTATGATAAAATGCAATCCAATTGGATTGCTTACTTATATAGGATCTGAAAATAAGGTAAATTTTTAGTACCTGTCCCAGTAGAACTTTAGGCTACTGCAAGTTAATATCCTTCTGGACAGCTTTAGAAAAAAAGCAACAAAACACCTCCCAAACAAACAAAAGGTAGCACTGGTACCACTGCATAAAAATAAATGTGAAGTAATGTTCAATAAACGTCAGAATGGGAGAAATCTGCTATAAAAAAGACACCCACATTCTTGTTTTTTAATGTTTTAGCTGAACTTTCAGCACTTAGAAGAATTCTGCATGCATAAATTTAAGTACCAATAAAGGGGACTAACTTAGGTAAGAGAAATTTAGCAAAATACCATTTTTACATTCTTTAATATGGAAAAAGTGTCTATATTTTCTTTTAAAGGGTAAAAACCAAATATTTCAATCAATCAGAAAGTTATTTCCTTTCCATGACACCAACCAATACTAGACACCAACTGTTTGCTAGAATTTCTCCTTTCTCAATCCCTCCTGCCCTTACTCCACACAACATGACTAAAGTGATGATTGTTTAAATATAGGTACAGCCTAATAAAAGGCCTTAAGGTTGTCTTCAGGTGGGTGTGTTCTCAGTGGATTGTCCACGTCAATGCAGTCCATCTGTGTGTATATCTAGTGTGCTATGAACACCTGAAAAATCAAGTTAATTGAGATATCCCTGCGATTATTTTTAACACCACAAAAAAAAACCAAGCCAGTATGTTTCATGAACTGTTCACATAACCAAATGTATATCCTTCCATGGCATTTCAATCATGATGCCACAGTAGACAAACCCATACAAACTGGCTGTTCTATGATGGCTTTTCTAGACATCAGAGCCTAAATATGGGCAAAATCACCAGCATTTGGCATTTCGTCTCTTGGCAAAGTTCACCACATTCTAGCAGTGTACATGGCACCTTCATAACCATGTATCTCTTTATGTTTTAAGTCTTAAGAAAAGAGAGATTGTTTCTTCACCTTGCGAAAAGCATTTCTGGACTCCTTGTAGGTTCTGCTGAGGCTGCTTACAAGATCCATTATGAACCGCCAGGACATAAAATTTTGAAGATCTCTGTATAAAAAAACCCACCACCCAGCAACAGAAAAGATGAGGCTGCAAAGCTTCTAAAGAGTAATATTAAATGTAAACTCTGAGGACATGGGCACTCTGACATACTTACCTGGCAGAATATTTGGTAAGAATGAGCTTAAGTTTGGTTAAGTATTCTGGAGCATAAACAATCACATCTTCCTCATTTGTAATGTTAATATCCACGGTTGACATAATTTCATTTGTGAAATTTGACCAGTTGAATGACTGGAAAAAAGCAGGCACAACACATTCAGTAATTATGAATTTCTCTTCTTGATTCCAACACTCAGTTACGGTTAGTGGTCAGACATGGTTGGGGTGTCAGCTGCGTCACAATATAATTATCACAATCGTCAGTCTGACACTTGTCGGGGATTTTCCCTCAATTGTTTCCACTGGTTTTAAATAAAAATTGGTTCAGCAGCATGATTATTCTGATGTCAGAATTAAACCAAGCATTGAAGAACAAAAGCAAAGCCTGTAAGCATAGAGAATATACAACTAGAAATTAGGCTCAATGTCATCTTCTTGGTCTAATCATTTTTTTTTTTTTTTTTTTAAAGAACAAAATTTTATCATAAAATTTCCTTGGTTTATGCAAAAATTTAAATGGTACACAGTGTTTATCTTTTTAAAGTAATGATTAAGAAATAATCCATTCAAATACAATAATATCTCTCAGTGGAGATCCTGCTGTAAATGAAAGCACATTCCAGTCATAGCAGAGGTTCAGTGAAGTTAAGGACACCAGAGAGGGTCCGATAAAGCTGAACAGAACAGCGTCTATAGAGGGTCTATAGGCATGCAGTTTTTACACTTCAGAAGCTAGGTTTTGAGTTGCCAAAAGTTGGAATCTTGTCTTTTTAAAATAGAAATTGAGGTTATTCAACCACCAATGGACATAAGAAAAAACCACAGAAGTGGAGATTAGATAAATCTTGCTGAAATGACACATTTCAGTGCTTGAGGATGTTGCCAAATTTTAGGTTCTATTATTATATAGGTAAGTGTATAACATACTGATCACTTTCCAAGTATAAAGTGCTATGTACTTTTCTTGATTTCCTTTGGTGGTTTGGATCATTCTTTCAAAACATATTTATTAGGCACTTTACAGCATGGATGGGCCTGGATAACATTATGCTAAGTGAAATATACCAGTCAGAGAAAGACAGAAACCATATGATTTCACTCATATGTGGAATCTAATGAACAAAATGAACTAACAAGCAAAATACAGACAGCCTCATAGAGAGCAGGCTGACAACTTTGGGGGTGGGGCTGGGTGGGAGCAGGTGGAGGGATAAAGCAAAAAAAGGGGGAAAAAAGAGACAAAAACCTATGGGCACAGACAACAGTTTGATGATTGCCGTGGGAGGGAGATGCAGGAGATGGAGGAGGGCGGGGGGAGGGGATGAATGGTGATGAATGGAGACTTGACTGGGGGTGGCGAACACAAAATCCAGTGTACAGATGATGTGTTGTAGAATTGTGTACCTGAAACCTGCATATTTTGTTAACCAGTATCAACCCAGTAAATTCAATTAAAAAAACTTCCATGAGAAATTCCCAACTCAAAAGGTTATGCTTTTAAAAAGTCGTTGTTTGTTTATTTAATAATTTTTTAAATTGATTTTAGAGAGAGAGGAAGGAAAAGAGATAGAAACATCAATGAGAGAGAACATCGACTGGCTGCCTTCTGCATGCCCCCCACTGGGGATCAGGCCCGCAACATGGGCATGTGCCCTGACTGGAAATCAAACCAGTGACCTCTTGGTGCGTGGGTTGACACTCAACCACTGAGCCACACCAGCTGGGCTAAAAGTCCTTGTTTATTATAATCATTGTCAAAGCAAATCCATCACTGAGTGTGCTAGTTTGTAGATTTTCCCATGGATGTTGCTTTATTTCCTAATTGTGTGCCTCAACTAATTCACAAGTACACACGAATAGCCCCCAAAAGAGATAATTACATACTAGCTAATGAATTATAATTAAGCAAAAATATGTCAATTGCTGCATATAAATGGAACCTATGAGACAGAGTTCCCTTATTTCTTGTGTTCTGTTTCTCTGTTATTGCTCCGAACACCTCCATAGATGCCTTGATGAGAACATAGCAAGTTCTTTGAATAAATTAATCTTTTTAGGAGTTAAAAAAATAGAGAGTTTTTATTATCTGACAATCCAACTTGATGGCTATATAATGGTCTTTCAGAAGGATTTTCAGATTTAATATTTTCCAATCCTTTCTTATAATCATTCCTACCATTATTGCATAGCTGCCTTGAAAGGGCTTTAACCTTTAAAATTCCCTCGAACTAAATACAAATATAATAGTTCAAATAGTATTTTTTCCTGGTCCTGTCATGAAATCAAGTGGTTGGTGTCATCTAAATTTATTGAATATTCCATTTATTTCAATAAGTAAGAAATCGCTGAATTTTAAGAAACTGTATTTCAATGTTAGAAGCTTTAGGAATGGCACAATAAAAGAGTACATAAAACTTGCTACTTACCGTCCCATTGATCTCTAGTGGAAAGTTATTTTGGATCTGGGCTAATTTCATTTTGTTATAAAGAAGCATTGGATCATTTCGATCTTCAGGTTTAGCTGTAGCCTATGGATTTAATTTGTCATCATTATTTTAGGACTAAGAATTCTTTAGAAAAATATAACTGCATTTGAGGGGAAAATAAATATGGGGTAGGTAAATATACTTTGATTTAAATTCTACTCTGTGCTTGTAATTTATTTTGTCACATCAAAAAGGAAAGTGAAATTTAAGATAGTTCAAGTATATTCAGTAACAGTTATCAAGATCTGGCTGCAGCGTTGAGTATAAAATTTCTCAAAAATCTTTTTGTATTTTTGAGAACAGCCAAACCATGTAAGCAGTATTTGCAGGCCGGCTGCCTTCCATGGTTAAGGGGCAGCTCAGTTGTTTCTGTTTCATATTATAATAACTTTTTAAAGTATAGTCATCTCCAATTAATCATTCAAGTTCTGTCTCCCACTCCCCATCACTATTATTCTGTGTCCCAGTTAAAATTCAGACAGAAAATTTAAAACATACACACACACAAAAAAAACAACAAGGACAAAAAAAAATAGTTTCTTCACCAATTTAAATAAAATAAAACGGAGAAAGCTCCCAGTAGGTTGCCAGTTAGCTAAGGAGAGCTAGCACCTTCTCCTTTTGTGACTGTCCTCCCATCCTGCCTGACCAGCTTACTGCTCTATACTCAACCACATCCAGTTTTTTTTTCCCACCGAATAAAAAAATAATAATTGCAATAACAACCCCAAACTAGTGGCTGAAATGAGTAAAAACAATTGTAAGCAGGGAGAGACAAAATTAAAGGTTTAAAATAGGAATTGTTTCTCAGTGGCTCCAATTTCCCTGTTAGGTCACTTATTTATTTCCTTATTTAAAAAATTGTTTATGGAATATGCTGTGCGCATTAATAAGCTGGACACTGTTAGAGATACACAGGTGATTCAAAGGTCACTAAGGTATCACCCAACCTCGGAGTCTAAGAGAAGAAAGAAAATACGGACACAAATAATTCTCAGATACAACTACTAGAAAGCTGAGGCTGATCAAAGGAAGTGACAGTGGCAAACATCTAGGGCAATAAATTGTTCTCTTCTAATAATTCTGTTTTCAACACAGAACCACATGTAACCCATCAAACTCCCATTTGTCTCGCTGCAGCTCCAAGCAAAGTCTGGCTCTGATTGGAGGCTTTTGGCTTCATGTGGTCCTGGGAAAGCTAAAATTGCCCTCAAAGGTTTGCAGTCTTCAAGGCTCTGACTGCCGTGGCAAGACGACGGGATTTACAAGTACAGGGTGTTGTCTGACCCAGTTGGACAAGAAAATGCCAAGTTACACTCCAGAGTTCACCTGCAGCTAGAGGAAGTTTATGAATACACTCCTTGGGCTTGGCTGGTCAACGCATCCTATCAAACCTCCCCTGAGCTCAGCAGCCTGACAGTCTGGGCTCAGTGACATCACACAGTCCATGGCCATGTTCAGGGGCTAATATTTCTTAGCAAAGGGATAGAGATGGTCTTTGCAATCACTACACACTTTTAAAAAAGTAAAAATGTACCTATCAGGAATAAACCAGCTTCACTGAACAGTTGGCAATCAAGTGTGTCCCGAGTCTCAAAGACACCTCAACAACGGTTTGGCTGTAGTTACAATTTTGAGGTAAACCAATTATAATGGGTAATTAAGTGTATCTAGTTCAATATTTGTCAGATTTAGTATGTCTCCTGGACGCGAGAAACCCAGTTTACTATAAAATTCTCCAGTTTCAAAGGTCCTCTTAAAGTTAATGATCTTTCACTAAGCCATGCATTTTTATCACTTGGTTAAGCAGTTGCACCTTTTACCCTTAAAATAGGATAGAAAGAAAAAAGGAAGAAAAAGTGGTTCACATTATTCAGTGTATCAGAGATAATGTGTTTTACATTGGCAATTTCTTTTTCCAATTCCATAATTTTATTCATTTCCAGAGTAATCTGGTTTTCATCTATGGGCAGTCCTCTTTCCTGACGCATCAATTTGGCCACAGAAATCATGAAGTCCACATACGCCGTGCAAGCCTGCAAGAAACAAATAACAGTAAATTGCTGGCAACCCTTCTCAATATTCACCACAGTGCTTTAACTTAAATTTTTATTTTCAATTTCATATAGATTTCTGGTAACAGATAAAGCACAATACAGTAGAGAGCTTTTCCTAAATCCTAAAAGAAATGTCCTGTATGAATTCTTAGAAAGTCAATGTGTCTGAATTAAACCAGAACAATAAGGTATCACTTTGAAAGCACTAAGTAACTTATAACTGGATATTTTGGTTATGCATATTTATAATTTTCAATTTTTAGTACGAAGTGATTTGTCACTATTTGATTATGAAGATTTTGTAATTTTTTATTTTCAATCAAGTTATTTTAAATTGCCTTAATAGGACTGCAGTTGCAAAAACACTTGATAAACAATAACCGAGTCTTTTTCTTAAGTATGTATATATTTAACTATTAATGAAGAGATGGCCACAAACTCACATTGCTATTTTTATTATGACATCTTTATATCTGTCTCTTCTGGCCAACCAGTATTATTTTTTTAATGAGAGTGAATTCTTATTAACTTCTCCAACATAAACATGTGAGTTTATGTTGGAAGAGCTTATGTTAAATCTACAGTTGGCTCCCATTACTATGAAATTTCTTTCTAAGATACCATAGATTTGCATATCAGCTTTCTTCTAAGAACCCAAATTCTTTCCATTTTATCTTCACATACATTTAAAATGTGTGAAGGTAAGTTGTAAACTAGTTACATTCTCAAACTTTTAAGGAATACATAAATGCCTTATTCAAGTTCAGTAGCATCAACTCCAGGAAATTGAATGTCACTTTCATACGTCTCAACCTATTGCCATTTAGCTATTATTATTTATCAACAATTAAAATAAATGATGATCCCACTTCATTAAAATTTACTCAAAACTCAAGTTCCCAGCACTAGCTGGATGACAAACAACCCTGATTACAGAAGCCACACAAGTTTGAATCAATGGGTACTTCTATACTTCTATAACTTGTTCACAGGGTAAATACAAAGGAAGACTATCCAGTGCTTAACACTTTCAGTTTCAAGAGAGTTTTATAGCCCTTCTGATTATCAGTGATAGCGATCCTGACATTTACTGTGAGTGCAAAGGCACATCTGAATTTATAGTGACTCATTAAGAGAATTAAACATAAAATTCACAGGGAGAGAAAAATATTTTATCTAGCAAGAGAACCTAAGCAAAATGTAGAGTTATTATCAATTTGAAAGTCAAGAGGACACCTTTAAGTAAGGTTTAGATACTGGCATACAATGACCTTTACTAAATGCTAAGTAAACAGTGCCCTGGGGAGAGGGCATTCTCTCCCATGGATACCCTGTCACGCTGGGGTGTCTAGCAACCATCTCTATCTATGGATTTGACACTCAATAAAACAAACTATTTTTCAGCTGTGAGTCTGTATTAAAAACCTAATCACTAAGGTATAGGATAATAGAATGCTTTCTGTGTATTCTTATAAATTCCATTCTTTTCCTACTCAAAGGTAATCAAAATTCTTGTTTCACTTTGAAGTAAACAAATATGTCTGAGTTCACACCTAATGGGACCAACTATTCCAAAATATAAGCATGCAGTGTTTTTTAATTAACTGTATTTCAAATCACACAAATTCATCTGTATTCATCAGGAACTTGCTACTGACTATGAAGAAAATGGTAATTTGTAATTTTTCAATATCAACCTACTAAGATATCGTTTTACTCTTTAGGATGTTTTTCTTTCTGTTAATCAGATAAGAGAACAATAACAAGAATGCTTTGCTTTCTTGTACTTTGCTGACTCTTCAAATTGATTCTACTCTCTTTTCTTCATCCTTACAGATGTATCTAAAGACTATGGAACTTGGCCTAATGTAAGCTTGGATGATGCTTCTAGTTTGCTGCGCTGGTCAAGATTCCCAGGAAACAGGAAGCACTAGCATCTGGGATGCTTAAATATTTAATACAGCTACGTGGAATACACTACTTCCTTTAATGAACTTCACTACTTGGCAACAATTCCAATGTGACTGATTACAACATGTCTTAATATCTTGATTATCTTTTCAAGCTTCCAAATTTATATAGCAGCTGTCAGAATGCAGGCTTACTGCTGCTATTAAATCCTTTCTACAATCCATTCTACCTTAAGGTTTTAATTTTCTTCCTTGAGGTACTTGTAAATATATAAAATGCCAAATGACTGTAATTGGCATGATTTGGGGAAAAAGTAATCAACACACTTTAACATTTAAACAGTACATTGGCCAGAATATTTTTAAAACTGAATTTCAGTTTTGTATGTGTCAGTAAGAGAGCAATTAGTTATCAGGGCAAGGGCCAGAGTCAGCTATCTTTTTCGAATCATAAAGCAACCTAGTTCAAGCCTTGATATAGTGAATCCTGTGAAAAAGAAACCCACCTAAAAATCTGTGCAGCATTTCCTTTAAAAATAAAATGTTGCAAATCCCCGTGCTTATAACAGCAGGGTCAAAAATGATAATAGTTGGGTATAATCCCTAATAGCAGTTTAGTGAGTTTTCAAATTACACAATATCAATGAGATAATATTTAGCAATACCCAACACCATGAATCATTACTCTAATTAGAACTATCTTTATTTTGCAAGATCAACCAGTGATATTTATATATTAGTTCAGTTCAGAACTGGGCTCCTCCTACTTATAAAAAAGCTGGTATTTGTTGGAGTTGCCAAAGAGAAAGAAAGCACTGCCCTTGATTATGGTCCTTCGAGCTTCAGTATCTTTGTTGACGAGTAACAGCAAGACCCAAGGAAGAACAGACAGCTCTCCAGTCAGACTGGCTGATATTTGGGTAATTTTCATGTCCAAAGTTGCTATTCCAGGACCCCAGCTCTTATTAAGTTTCTGCCTTCTCCCTTTTGGAAGAACATTGTCCTAACATGAAGCATGAAGTGACTGAGAAGTCACAGAACTCTACTGTTCCTAGCCGCTGATGTGGGGGTGTGTGTAATAGTGTTACGCAGGAAGTTTCCAGGAGGAACACACAAAGGACAGTAACCAGGAAAGATGTTTCCTATCAACGAGGCTTGGAGTGTTTGCCCACTTTACGCAGCATGTCAAGGAGCACGCAGCTGCCAACACAGGCTTGCTCCCTGAAGAACTACCCTGTTACATAGAGTCACGCAGCCATTCCTAAGGACCAGAAAAGAGAAACACTGCCCATCCTACCAGGACTCCGGAGAAACACAGGACGCAAGAGGATCCACTGTGGACCACACGCAAGGGGATTGTCTGAGAACCTGCAGAGTCATATGAGAAATTATTGTGCAATTTCTAAGGTTTGTTGCATATGTTTTGGAAGTTGCAATGAAGTTCTTTTTTTGAAAACTTCGATGCAGAGACAGGAAATGACTTTAATTTTTTTTTCTTTATTGATTTTAGAGAGAGAGAGGAAGAAAGAGAGAGAGAGAGAGAGATAGAAACATTGATGAGAGAGAACATTGACTGGCTGCCTCCTGCATGCCCCCCACTGGGGATCGGGCCCACAACCTGGGCATGTGTCCTGACCGGGAATCGAACCAGTGACCTCTTGGTGCAGGGTCGATGCTCAACCACTGAGCCACACCGGCCAGGCTGCATGAAGTTCTTTTTACAAACTTGGTTCAGTCAACCTTAAAAACATCCCTTGTCATAACCACTAAGTCCCAGTTAAAAAGCTCCTTTATGTTTTCTTAAATACAGAGATCTGGACTGGATGGGGTGAAACCTCCTGACTGTTAGTCACCTGGTGACCAGGAAGGACAAACTGAAGTCAGCAGTTTCTCTTGCAGGCTCTGTTTTATCAAGTCAACCAAGCAGTCAGAGTGATCTTTTTTCAAAAACTAGATAAAATTATATCTCAATTATCCACCTACCTCTACCCCAGTCCTCTACCTTGTACCATGTCACCAGGTTCTATTTTCTTTGTAAATCTACTATCTGCCTTAATCTCATATCCTGAAATAATTTACTGGCTTTTTATTGTCTACCTTCTCCCATTAGAATACAAGTTCCATGTGAACAAGGACCTTTGTGCCTTATTTCCTTGTATTCCTATCGCATAGGAAAGTAACTGTCGCATAGGTGACGCTCAATGAATATCTGTTTCATTAAAAAAACAAAGTTAATGACCTGGCCGGTTTGGCTCAGCGGTTAGAGCGTCAGCCTGCGGTCCAGAGAAATCCGGGTTTGGTTCCCGCTAAGGGCACATACCTCGGTTGCAGTTTGTCCCCGGCCCTGGTTGGTCGTGCGGGTGGCGGCCACTCGATGTGTCCCTTTCACATTGATGTTTCTCTCTCTCTCTTCCTCTCTCTCCCTCCCACTCTATCTGAACAAAAAATGGAAAAATGTCCTCGAGTGAGGATTTAAAAAAAAAAAAAAGTTAATTTTTAGGTATAGTAAATAAGTGTCACTCATATCCTGTGGCATCAGCCTTCTATTTTGAGCCCAAGCCCAGAGCAGCAGTTTCTCTCGGCCTGTATTCTGAGTAAGTGGGCAAACAAAATCCTTTCGAAGTTTAAATCAGTTCCAGTGTGTAGCTGCCCACCTCAGGGCCGCAGACCTCAGCGTGTGCTCTTTCTGAGTAGGTACCACTTAGAGTGTTTCTGGTCTGCGTTTTCTCTTACACACACAGGTCATCTCTTTCTGGCTTCCAACCATCCTGGTCACGCTCCAAGTCCTTTATCCTCACCCCAAAACATGTTCACGTTTTGCGAACCTCCAGTTCTCCTAAGAGCTGTAAACTGCCTCACGACCCTGGCATCCCCTCCCCTGCGGCGGTCACAGCGTATATCCTACAGACTTACTCTCACCTCCCGCCTCGCCTCCGCGGGCTCTCATTTGCTGACCAGAGGTTTTCTCGTGTTTCTTTTAGCCCTGAAGTGGTCTGTTCAAATAAATATTTTGTTGATGTATACACAAGTAAAATAAATCGTGATGGACTTTCTTGGAATGTGTATGCA